TGCCCCATTCTTCTGTCTCTGGGTTTCAGAATGAGAAGCCCCCATGTCCCCTCTGTGAACTGTTACAGCCCTCCAGCCCCTAACCTCAAGAAATTCCCTTATATTTAGCCTGCATTTCTCTGATGAAATCCATCCCATTTCCTTATAAATATCTTGTTTTTTTCCACAATTTCACCCAGTAACCTAAGTAGAATAAGTGCCTTGCCTTTTTTGGACACTACTGACAATTTTGGCTTCAAAATGTAAGATAGATACACGTACCTAGTGCACTGAACCCTAGCAACTAAGAACCAGGCTGACCTTAAATGGGAAAGACAAACACATACCAAAGCTTAAAATCTCTCAGTTGCCCTAAGGTACCACAATAGGCACGAATTCTTTTCACTCCATGACAGTTTGGAGTAGCTAGGTCAGAAGCCAGATTGCATAAGGTCTTTTGAAGAGAGTTAAAAAGGAGCAGAGAGACTAAGGGTAGTTTAAGGAGTTTAAGGGAGGAGAGAGAGAAGATGAAAGATATACCAATGCGGTAATATCTTACGAGAGTTTTTATAAACATGGCAGACACTTGCAGTATGACCATAGCTAGGTGGCACAGTGAATAGAGTGCCCGACCCGGAATCAGGAAGACCTGAGTTCAAATTTGGCCTCAGGCACTTACTAGCTATGTGACCTTGGGCAAGTTACTTGATCTCTATTTGCCTCAGCTTTCTCACCTGTAAAATGGGGATAACAATAATACCTAACTCCCAGGGTTGTTGTGAGGATCAAATGAGATAATATTTGTCAAGTGCTTAGCACAGTGTCTGACACATAGTAGACATTATATAAATACTGGTAATAGTTATTATTTTTCCCCACCCTGGATCACTCCTCCATTCCTATTCATGTACTGCTGAATGGAACTGGAGGAAATCATACAACCAGACTGATATGTTAACTATTTCAACTGGGTCCTCACTGCAGCAAGGCAATTCTTTTATTCTTCCTTAATTGATTCTCTCATCCAATCACCTCAACAGCCCTTCTAAACTTCTCTCCTCACACCTGCCTCCCTCCACTCTCTCAGTTGAGGTCCTGCCCTCATACGTTATCAAGAGAATAGAGAATACAGTAAGTTCCTGCTTTTCCACTTCTCATCTCCCAATCCTGGACCTCATCCCCTACTATATCTTCTTTTGTTCCAGTTTCTGATGGAAAGGGGGTCCTTCTCTCCAAGGCTAGCTCTTGTTGTTTTTTCTGTCCTGTTTACCTTTTTATGTCTCTCCTGAGTCTTGTATTTGAAGATCCAATTTTCTGCTGAGCTCTGGACTTTTTATCAGGAAGATATGGAAGTCCGCTTATTTTATTGAATGTCCATGTCCTCCCCTGAAAGATTATACTCATTTTCGCTGGGTAGTTTATCCTTGGTTGTAATCCAAGCTCCTTTGCCTTAAGGAATATTGTATTCCACGCCCTATGATCTTTTAATGTAGAAGCTGCAGGGTCCTGTGTAATCCTGACTGTGGTTCCAT